TCATGCCTTAATAGTTCACAAATAGTTAACAAAATACCTGTTTCAACGAAGCACACTGATAATTGTATTAATCTTCACTTCTTTGTTATGAAATACGAGTTTATGTTATAAAATTTTCTTGATTGGCGAACGTTTCGTCATGTACTTCCGGTTTAGTATAATTTATAATCTCAACTCGAGGTCAGATTGATACAGATGTTTTCTGAGGCAAACTTTTTTTATGAACTGATTGGTATGCATTATTTAATGATTTGAATCGTATGTTTGTTCTCAGTATGAAATATTATGATATAATTCGTTCATCAGTATGAGCGGTGTAGATATTTTTTTTTTTTTGAAACCGGAAGGATACAAAAAGTAATATCCATACTGTAAATTAAACTTTTATCTTAATCAACTAATTTTTGTGGGAAAAAAACAACTTTTTTTGTTCACTTTCGTTTCTTTGTGCAATATCTTACACAATAAAATGTGCAAGTCATTGTCAAGAACCGAAATATTTTACATTGTATTTCGGAAATGACACAGTCTTCCTTTCTGATCGTGTTACGAAATTAATGGAAGAATCCATTATTGAATGGGGAAATCAACTTCACTGTAGCTCTCAAATTTGTGCTATTCTGATTGACTCTGTTTTGAATTAACATTCACATTCAACAAACTTTTCATCCTTCTTATGCTTTAACAGAAAAATCTTCATAACAATGTCTGTTGAGACAAAAAATACAAGATACACTATCTCAAATTATCCCTACAAAGAAAGTCTATATAACCTTGCAATAAAAAAACCCTTAAACTCCCAAAACAGAGACCAATTTTCAACTTTAGACCATAATTTGAATATACTTTGTAGGAACTAACAAGCTAATGCCTTGTGAGAAATATCTAAGCTCTAGCCCTTTCCATTTTGAAGTATAAGAACTAAGTTTTTTCTTTTAGTTGCCATAGCAACCAGAGTTTAGCATGGAATGGCATTCTTTGAACAATCTTGATAGAGCTTCATACAAAGAGTATTCCTGCCAAGTTTCATTAATATTGGCCAAGTGGTATTGTAGAAGATGTCGTTTGAATAAAATGTGGACGGACGCCGGACGCATTTGGTTGGCCATCCTAAAAGCTTACCTGCACTTTGTGCAAGGTGAGCTAAAAATGGACCGAAAAGGTGACTGTTTTCTTTCTCGCTTCTAATAACACACAGCAAAATGGTTATATGATCCAGAGACATTGAACACTCGAAAATGTAATTTCAGAAGCAATGACGCTGGTGACATTTTTAATCTAAATTTCGACGTCACGAACGTCATTTTGTTTTACCATTAGTGTGCGCCAGATCGCGTACCCCTTGTTTTTTTGTAATTTTTTTACAGAATTGTTATTTGTAAATATATTGTGTTGATTTTTTCACTGTATGTTAAGGACATGTTCCATTATTTGTCTTTTGTAAAATCGTGTACGCATATTAAACAAGGGTGCCATAGTCACAAAATACGCCCGTTTACGAAAAAGCTTTAGATGGAGATGGGGGCATTATGGATAAGTGTTATCTAGCAAGCAAGTTTTTATTCTTGGCACTGTGTTGTTAAATGAACCTTAAAACAAATCAGTAGGGAAGATATGCACAGAATGTGTGACCTTGACCTTGGTCGCAGGGACCTGAATTTTATGCACGGCACTCAGCCTCACAATGATGAACATTTGTGCCAAATTATATTGAAATCCCTCTATGCATGTAGAAGTTTTGCTCCAGACAAGTGTTTTTCTATGAGCTCTAACTGTGACCTTCACCTTTGACCTAGAGACTGGTTTATGTGCAGGGCACTACGTCTCATGGTGGTGAACAATTCTATAAAAGTAACATTAAAATTCCTCCATGCATGTAGAAAATATGCTCCGGACAACATCTGGATATTTAATCATCTCCAGTGACCTTGACCTTGCAAATATTACCTAAATTAAATGTGTAACACCTGTAGTCATGATAGTTACCATTTGTGCTACAATCCATCAATAAATGATGACTAAATGGTCCCTATAACCATCTTCAAATTTTTATCTGAAACTTTGACCTCTATGTGTAACCTTGACTTTGGTCGCACGGGATCTGAATTTTGCATGCGACACTCAGACTCACAATGGTGAACATTTGTGCCAAGTTATATTGAAAACCTTCATGAATGTAGAAGTTTTGCTCCGGACAAGCGTTTTTCAATGAGCTCTAAGTGTGACCTTGACCTTTGACCTGGAGACCTGGATCATGCATGGAGCAATACATATCATGGTGGTGAGCATTTCCATAAAGTATTATAAAAATTCTCCATACATGTAGGAGATATGCTCCAGACAAAATCTGGATATTTCACCATCTTTAGTGACCTTGACCTTGCATATATTGACCTAAAGTACATGTGTCACAGCCGTAGTCATTATAATGACCATTTGTGTTACAATCCCTCAATAAATGATGATTAAATCGTCCCTATACACATCTTCATATTTTTATCTTTTTTTAAACGGGCGTATAAAAAGTACATGTAATTTAATAACTAAAAAATTCTGATTTAAGATTTTATTCTAGGGAAATACATTTCATTACAATTCTTAATCTTTGAATGAGCTGAACTGATATTTACTTGAAAATTAAAATATAATTAAATTTCTATGAGAAAGTATTTACATTTGATAAGGTAAATTACTGTACGATCTTTATGAACAAATACCAAGTCTACAGAACACCATAGTTATCACAGTTAAGTATCTTGACCAATGAATGAAACATGTGTAAATAAATGTTACATTCTTTACAAACATACTCAAGTCCAAGAAAGAGGATTATTTCATGCCCTTTGATTAAATTCTATTTTTAGAAAATAGATCAAGGGGAGTAATTGTGTAAGTCATTTATGAACAAAGTAATAACTTTGTTGTCTCCCTTTGATTAAATTCTATTTACAAAATCTGGATATTTCATCATCTTTAGTGACCTTGACCTTGTATATATTGACCTAAATTATATGTATCACAGCCATAGTCTTGATAATGACCATTTGTGTTACAATCCCTCAATAAATGATGACTAAATGGTCCATATACACATCTTCATATTTTTATCTGAACTTTGACCTCTATGTGTGACCTTGACCTTGGCCGCAAAGACCTGAATCTTGCACGCGACACTCCTCCTCACAATGGTGAAACATTTTGTGCCAAGTAATATTGAAATCCCTCTATACATGTGGAAGTTTTGCTCCGGACAAGCATTTTTCAATGAGCTCTAAGTGTGACCTTGACCTTTGACCTAGAGACCTGGTTCATGTGCGCGACACTGCTCCTCATAGTGGTGAACATTTATATGAAGTTTCATTAAAATCCCTCCATACATGTAGGAGATATGCTCCGGACAAAATTGGACGCCGCCCGCCCGCCCGCCCGCCAGGGGCGTTCCCATAATACGTCCCGTTTTTCAAACGGGCGTATAAAAATGTGTACAATACAGCTGCAGTCCACAAACTTTTTGAACAGCCCTCATATAGGCCAACTTCTGTGTACATACTATCCCCTTCTCACGAGTTAACACAGGACTTCTAAATGCAGTGATTGTTGCTTGTTTTTTCATCATTTACAAATAACAGTATCTGAACTTGACAAGCTATGATGTTGCTGATTTGTCGACATGTTTTATGTGGTTCGTCATTGTACCTGTGCTGCCACCGGCGTAAGAAAGTTAACATAAACTGCATTTCACCTTTATAGGTTTACCATTTGTTTCTATAGTTAAAAAATACTTCAAAACTTCAGAGCGTCTAGATTTTGAATTTTCCGCCATTTTTACTTTGAAATACCGTTGGTTATTGCAGGAATTAAATGGACCATGTGACCATTTCGTTTAAACGGTTACAAAAATCGTAAACTTTTATGGATTAAAATCAAAACGAAAATGTTTAAACGTGGGGGCCTTACACATAAGGCTGCTATATACCAAGTTTGATTACAATACCTCTTTTCTTACGGAAACTTTTTTTCTATTTATAGTAACGGTGACCTTGACACCAGGGGGTCCAAATGCAATACCAACTGGGGTCTTCATATAAGCTTGCTTAAATATAGCAAGTTTGATTACAATATGTTATTTACATTTTAGGCTCCTCACTTAGTAAATACCGTATTTTAATTTTAGGGCCCCCAGAGTTGATTCCACAGGATAAAAGACAAAAGTGTCAAGAGGTGCTTTCATGTGTCAAAACATTTAGTGGTCAAGAGAAAATGGATATTTCATACTGCAGATACTGTAGACAAAATACGATTCGAGTGGTTCATGAAATGTTCAAAGATATTTTCAAATTACATTTCTGGTCCCCTAAAAGGGACAGCCATATTTCTTTGAATAAACATGAGCTTACAATTTGTTTTACTGTAGAAGTCTGTGAATGAGGCTACTTCATTTAACAGTGTAACTCATTGGCCTTCATCAGGATACAATGTTTTTTTTCACCAAAATATTCGGTGAAATTCAGTCCCATTCCCTCCTTAAAACAGTATATTCTTCCCCCCTCAAAGCCGAAATTTCCCCCTATACGGCAGCCCGAATTTGCCTGCAATGAACATCACTTTTTTTAAACTAACGCTGAAAAATGTTTTATTTTATGCCTGTAAGCAAGGTTGTTTATAAATCATTCTTGAGTAGGTAAGGGGAGATACTACCGGTGTCCAAAAAAGTTTAACATGCGACGCGTCGATATTTTAGATCTGTATATTAAGAAAAAGCGACGTATTTTAAACTTGTGTTGCAAGAGTTGCTCCCCTTTTCTACCGGAAAGAAAACAATATAAAATAAATAAACAATAAAATACCCCCTTCTATTGCGTTTTTCTCCCTCCAAAGGGCACCGACCCCCTTCCCCAAAAGTGAAAAAAAAAAACCCAAAAAACACTGGGATAAAACACACACAAAAGCTCGTAATTTTTTTTTCTTTTTTTTTGTTTTAATTAGAAACTCTGCCTTACTTGGCATGAAATGCCTCCCACATGAGAACTTCTTGCCAGGCCTGTTCATTATTACTGTTGTGTATCTTTATAATGTGATGCATATCCTCCTGACCTAGGTCATCTTCTTTCCATCTCCATCCTACAAAAGTAATTCAAATTTGTAATTAATTTCTACAAGCTCCCCTTGAAAGAACAAAACAAACAGGAGTTGTTAATTGGATGGAATCATTCAAGGAATGCATGATTATTTTCTATGCTTGACAGAAGCAATGTAGGAACTTTCATAAAATACACACATAAAAACAAGAAGCAGTCACAGAATGCCAAATCCCCTACCAAACAGGAAAAAGGTTATAAAAGGAAAACAGTCTATTTGCACACACTGACAAATAAATGTAAATACATACCAAAGGACAACCACTCAAAAAGTACAAAACATACTTTTTACATAAACAAAAAATGTTGAATGACACATAATTGGTTATTTTGTTATAGAAACTTGCCTTAAATAGGTACATGGAAGTGTTCAGTTATGGAAAAAAGAAAAATAATGAAGACTTTGTAATAGTTTTCAAGATAATGTGCGGAAATCTTTCTGACATTAAGGCCCGTGTGACCTTGACCTTTGAACTAGTGACCAAAAACAAGAGCCACCGCCGGGCGGGGGGCAACGTTCGACTTTATACTTTTTCTAAAAGCAAACAAAGAAATGTCTGAACAAATCTTAACATTTCCTTTTTATAAATTTAATCGATCTGTCTTGTCACATCAGTTTTGTCTATATATTTTGTATATATATATACATACGCATTTATATAAATATAATTATAATTATACATTTACACAAAAAGAAGTTGATTCCTTATGTGGATCTCATGTATAAAAAAAAGTATGTTTTGGGAAATGCAGAGTACAAAGTTCTTTAATTTTTTATACGTTTATTTCTGTAAGCGCTTTCAAATGTTTCTACATATCTTCTGACAGTAACGTATAATATAATCATAACAACTATAACAATGACGTAAAGTTATAAAAGTGCGGGAAACTTAAAAATACAACGTTGCGCTGCAAATGAGATATTTGTGTTATCCTTGGTTTTGGTGAGCATGTCATAGTTTTACTCGTATGTGATATAGTATTTAATAATGCTCATTATTTTATCCTATGTTATATTGTCAACTATGTATATGCTTCCTTTGCCAAAATAAATCTATCTAATCTATCTAACGTATTTCCCGGCAAACACAATATGGTTATTTATACTGTAAAATTATAATATTACGGACATTGAGCATAATCCGTACAATCTGGCAGTGAATTAATGACATTTATTAAAGGGAGGTAATAAAATTCACAAGTTAATGATTTTATGGCCACAAATTGTATGGTAATTAAAAATTTTTACTCAATAAATATTGATAAATAAACGAACAATTGGACTGAATAAAATCGCAAGCGTTTACCTCCTGAACAATTATGTAAATGTTTATTTAATTGTAACATTCTGAGTTCTTCAGTGTTTGTTTGTTGCCTATGTAAAGTCATACGTTTACATAATTCATTTTTTGTTTGGTCAATATAAAACTGTTTACAGTTGTCACAAATTATTGAATATATCACATTTTTTGAAACACAGTTCATACTTTGTTTTATCTTAAATGTCTTACTGTTACAAAATTGTATTTCATTTCCTTCTATTAGAGAAGGACATGTCTTACACCTACTCCTGTTGCATTTAGAAACTGTTGTTACAGTATTATTTGTCATGTCGAACTTTGAAGAGGTTAAGATGTTGTGAAGATTTTTTGCTTGTCTTTTACTGTTTATAATGCGCTTCTTTTCTAAAACACTGTTCATCCTTTCACTTTTTCGTAACACATTCTCACAAGATCGAATTGCTTGGGAAATATTGGTATTTTTTGGATTTAATGTTGTTACACATGGGATAACGTTGTACTTGTTGTTAGCTGTTATGTTTTCTTCAGTTTTGAAGGGACCTTTCAATTTGGCTTTAGATATTCAGTATGTAATAATTTCATCTGGGTAATTCTGATTTTTAAGTCTTGTAGTTAGTTCTGAGAGGCGCTTTTCTTGCAGTGTTTCTCCTCTTACTATAGTTATGATTCTTGACAGGAATGTTTAACTTTGTATGTTTCGGATGACACGATTTAAAGTTGAGGTAGTTGTATGTGTCCGTCGGTTTACTGTAGATATCTGTTGTTATATGTGTTCCAGATTTCATAACTAATACATCTAAAAATGGCATGCTTGTTTCACTTTTATTCATTGTAAATTGAATACAGGGGTGTAAATTGTTTATTTCTCTTAATAAATCATCTGTGTTGATATTTTTCCCGACTATTAAAAAACAATCATCCAAAAATCTCTTCCAGTTCATTTTAATGTACATGTAGTTTGAAAAGTCGTTTCCGTGTATTGTTGATATTCTTTCCTAGACTGTTTTCTCTAGATATCCAAGTACCAAAGTAGCATAAGTTGGGGCGACTTTAGTACCCATAGCTGTTCCTTTATTCTGGATATAATATTTGCCGTCAAAATAAAATACGTTATTCTTTAGGATAAGTTGCAGTGATTTCAATATAAATAGGTGTTGGAATCTAGTATCTATTTTATCGGGAAAATTTTCTATCCAGTATTGAATTGCCTGTAAGCCCAGATCATGTGGAATGTTTGTATATAAATTTACGACATCTAAGGTAACTAAAATGGAATCTTCTTCTACATTTTCCGGCAAGTAATTCAGGAAATCTAAGTCATCTCGAATGAAACTTGGAACTTGTCTGCATAATGGTTTTAAAATGAGGTCTAAAAAGTGGCTAAGTCTCTGTGTAACACTGTTAGGTCCCCCTACAATAGGCCTAAACTTTAAATCATCTGGTGCAGAAACTTTAATGTATTCAGATTTATTATTATTAATTGCCTCTTCAATTTTCCTAACTTTCATCACTCAACATTTTCAAAATGTGATCTCTATAGTAGTCATTGTCCATACAAACTACAGCACCGTCTTTATCTGCTTCTTTTATGATTAATGATTTTTTTGATAATATACTTTTCAATGCTGATCTATCTTTCTTCGTTAAATTAGAATGAACATCAGATTTATTTTCAAGTGGGATTTCCTTTAATGATTCAATAGCCTCTTCTAAAAAGATATCTTTACTTTTAGGAGGTTTCCATCCAGTTTTATTTCGTACTAAGGGTATATTGTTTCTATCATTATCTTTATCTTCTTCATGGAAAAACTCACTAAGCCTTAATCTTCGACAAAATTCTTTTATATCAGTCTGTAATTCTGTTTTATTTTCCATTGGAGTTGGAGTAAATTTAAGCCCCTTGCTAAGTATTAAAGAGCCCAAGTAAATTTGGGTTTCATAAACAACAAGGTCTGGTCCTTAAGAATGTTCTGTTATAATATGAAGTTGATCCCTTCAATAATAGCAAAGTTACAGTCAGTTACCGCCAAAACAATGAAAATTTCAATAATTTGACCTTCAAAGACAATGTCATTAATGAGTGAAGGTCAAGGTCCTTCGGTATATTTTTAACAGTTATCTTTGAAGATTATTATGTTCAAGTTTCAAGACAATCCATTCAAAAATAACAAAGTTACAGCCAATAATAGCCAAAAAAATGAATATTTCAATAATTTGACCTTCAAAGTCAAGGTCATTTATGAGTGAAGGTCAAGGTCTGTCTAGTTATTTTTAAGGGATATCCCTGAAGATAATAATGTTCAAGTTTGAAGACAATCCATTCAAAAATAACAAAGTTACTGCCAATAAAAGCCAAAAAAATGAAAATTTCAAAAATTTGACCTTCAAAGTCAAGGTCATTTATGAGTGAAGGTCAAGGTCTGGCTGATTATTTTTAAGGGATATCCTTGAAGATTATTATGTTCAAGTTTGAAGACAATCTATTCAAAAATAACAAAGTTACAGCCAATAACAGCATGAACAAGCAAAAATTGGACTTTTAACCTTGAAGGTCAAGGTCATTTATGGATGAAGGTCAAGGTTAGTGTGGTCTACTGAAAGGTCTTGTCCCAAGGGTTGTTGTGGCCAAGTATGAAGACAATACACCAAGAAATAAACAAGAAGGCCATGATGGCCCTAGATCGCTCACCTGACTTATCAAACTCATCCAAACAATTACCTAGACAAGCATTCTGACCAAGTCTCATGACAGGTGAGTCAAAAATGTGACCACTACAGTGTTAACAAGGATTATCCATATTTGAGCAGTGCGACCTAGTTATTTACCCAGGTGACACATATTCAAACTTGACTTAGAAATCATCAAAACAAACTTTCAGACCAATTTCCAGGATACTTGGATCAAAACAGTAGCAACTAGAGTGTTAACAAGATTTTTCTATTTTTAGCTCCGGTGACCTAGTTTCACATGCGATTTCGAACTCATCCACGCAATTAACTAGACAAGCATCCTGACCAAGTTTGATGATAATTGAGTCGAAAATGTGACCACTAGAATGTTAACAAGGTTTTTCCATATTTGGGCGGTGTGACCTAGTTTTTCATCCAAGATGACCCATGTTCGATCTTGACTTAGAAATCATCAAAACAAACTTTTAGACCAATTAACAGAATATTTGGATCACAACAGTAGCCACTAGAGTATTAACAAGATTTTTCTATTTTTAGCTCCTGTGACCTAGTTTTTCATCCGAGTTGTCCCATGTTCGATTTATTCCCAGCAATGACCTAGACAAGTTTCCTGACCAAGTTTGATGACAATTGAGTCAAAATTGTGACCACTAGAGTGTTAACAAGGTTTTTCTATTTTTAGCTACGGTGACCTACTTTTTCATCCGAGATGACCCATGTTCGAACTCATCTGAGCTATCACCTAGACAAACATCCTGACCAAGTTTGATGATGATTGAGGCAAAATTGTGACCTCTTGAGTGTTAACATGGTTTTTCTATTTTCAGCTCCGGTGACCTAGTTTTTCATCCGAGATGACCCATGTTCGAACTCATCCGAGCTTTCACCTAGACAAGCATCTTGACCAAGTTTGATGATGACTGATGCAAAAATGTGACCGCTAGAGTGTTAACAAGGCTTTTCTATTTTTAGCTCCGGTGACCTACTTTTT